ATATCGAAAACCACTTCTAAAATGGGCCACATGCTGTAATCTATCGGATTCAGATCCGGAAAGCTAGCCGGTCTTTCGTCGAAGGTGAAGACGCCGGGAATGTCTGCCTTTCACCCTCTTGCGCCCATCCCTGATCTGGGAGCCCCGTCCTGTTGGGAGATCAGGGGAAGGCTTTAAAAGAGAGAAGCAGCCCAGGGAAGCGACTTGTCCTTGAGGTCTAGATAGTGATGGTCTGAACTGCAATGCTAACTATAAGTGACTGAGAGACAGCGTCCTTATTCGGAGGAGAGCTCAACAACTTAACAGTGAGCGCCGTGAACAATTAGGTGGACAGCTGGCAGGAAACATACAGACAACATAAGCACGCTGAGCTCGTCAGTTGCATTTCTGGCGACTTGGTTCGGTGAACATCACGATGCTCAACGGAGCTCCCTCTATTCATTCAACATTAGAAACAAACAACCGTTTCATTAACAAAATCACATAGCTATAAGCTCAAATGCATGCATTTTACAAAGAACAGTTTCAGAAGAGCACCGAACATTTGAAATGCATGCTGGACCCCACAAATCTACGACAATATGCACACCAGAATATCGTAATTATTATACGAACAACTGATTTAAGGACTATCTGAGCATATATAAAAATTTATGATAGAACAAAATTTCAAAAATGATCACAAATACATCACGAACAATATAGCAGCTCTTAAAAATCCCTAACATAATATTTCAGACTATAGCCAAATGTTATACCGTACATCAAGGCGAATACGAGGAGAAGTAGTGTGAACAAGGAACAAGACTTAACACAAAGCGCCACAGTTTCCAACAAAGCAAATAGCCATGGGAGTTACCCTGCACTAACTATATGAGCTCATGGCAAATTTTAGCTCATCCACAACATCAAGCATAACACCAAATCTTATTTTGATTATCAAAGGAACAACATGTTGTGGAAGTATTGAGTACCAAAATACCCGGTTAAAGTAGGAATTTTTCGCAATGAGAAGTGATATTGATTGCTATTGCCATGATCTAGCCTTAAAGAGGAAAAGAAAATGGGTATTATGCAGCAAATCACACATTTGATAGGATAATGTTACACCTAGTTGAAAAGCTACTTTTGGGCAATTTTGATCTGCCGTAGCTTAAGGGCTCTGAAATGTATTTTTTCGAGATCGGCGTCGTTCAAATTAAGTTCGCACACCTGAAAATACCTTCTTTTTGAAAAATAATTTGCATCTCTTTTGGAAATAACTTCACAAATCGAACATCACCTTTGCCACTAAAAAATCTTCTGAGGTAATTTTTTGTGGAAGGTTCCTGAGGCGAGTCACTATTGAATGCAAGTCAGGATATTGTTTGCACTGCTCTTTACTACCCAACCCATACTTGAATAGTACAATGGCTACTTTGAATAAGACTTTTGCACCTGAAATATAGAGTAAAAAAAACTACGAAGTGGAATCGAAACAACCGCACCTTCGCACAAGAACATATCCCACACTCGGAGGACCGTTGGCCATGGAAGAGTGCGACAGAAAATACACATGAACCACTCCACCATGTACAGTACAGGTTCTACGTTCTGCTTCTTCTGAAAATCCTCATTTATAATGGAAAGACAAACAATAGTAGTAATAATAGTGTGGACCTACAACATCATGAAACATTTAAATTTCCATTGTCAGCTGAGGAACGTGACAAAACGCTGACGACTGACAGAATGTGTCCCTTGCAGAAGAAAAGTAACCCAAACTACAATCACTTATCACCTAGCGCAACTAGAGTCCTCGCACTTCGGGTCTCTCGAAGCTACCTCAGTACTACTCATGCGCGAAAGTGTTGGAAGTAGTGCGGAGAATGTACCAGATCGTTGCCTTACCAGAATTCTGCACTTTACAACAGCCGTTTAACGGAGAATGTTAACGTTGATGAGGGCAGTACCACTAACAGTTGTATCAATCCGTAAGTCATCGAGAAGAAAGGGGGAACATTATCGGGTTGCAGGCTTTTTTCTTAGTTCCTCTTCATACATGCACACTGACCACCTCTACCTTAATTTCTAATGGGCTGCTTCCCCATCATGAAATTCGTCTTTAAAACGAGCCGTAGGCATCAAAAACCGGTCTGCTAGAAATTGAGAAACAGCGTCACTACTGTGACACACATCATTCTGATGCAATCTGGCTTCAGTCCAACAATACAGCGCCACGAAAATAACCAGAAAAGAATTTTAGTGCCTCGCATCCACAGCATGTTTTTCAGAAATGCGCGAAATCGACATTCTTGTAGATATTAGAATGGTATGATGATGTGCT